TTTTCCCGTATGGCTCCTTGCGTTTGCATGCCCGAGATGGTAAAGGACCAGATCAATACGGTCTGGGGACTCCGCAGAGGGGCTGTCAACAGCAGAGGCAGCAGCCTTGGCCTTTGAGTTCATTTGTATGTGTGTTTTGCGAGATCATGAGACCTAGGAGAGATCGGTGTTGGAAAGGTAAATATTTTTGTAGTGTGTCTAAATGGGTTCTCTTCAAAGAGCAGCGGTGTTCAAAGCTATTAGGAGCAGTGGCTGGCCTGCCTGTGCCTTCTGACAGGCACCTGGGGGGCGAGAAGAGAAGCAGCAGTGGTGCCGAAAGTGGGTCTAGTTCTGCTGCCTGCTGCTGCAGCGAGTTACTGCCTTCTTCACATTTAATTTCTGCTTCAAATGTACTAACGCTTGGCATTGTAAAGGAAAGCACAGAGTAAAAAATAAAAGAAAGAAAAAGCTAAAGACATTGTTCATAATGACAAATGGGTAATGTGTTTTACTCTCATTGAATGTAAGATGTTGTTTTCTACAGTTTACTGAGTGTATTTAGTGATCTCCTAGACTGTCACTGAGATGTAGTTAAACAGAATAATGATGAACTTGAAAATTCTTGTGTAAGATTTCTTTTGCTTTTGCTGTGTTAAAAAGACCTTTTTAGAGTAATATCTGTCTGGTAGGTGAAATCTTACTGCTTTGTCTATTGTACATAAGGCTGCAGAACTTGTATAGATTTTGCATCACTTAAGGGTCTCAGGGGTGTGAAAAAATACCATTCTGAACCTAGTTTGTGGTGCCTAGGAGTTGTAAAAACAGAGCACTGAGACTTCTGGTGTATACGAGTGCAAGGGCTGATTTACAAACATTGTTTATTTGTTTTCTGATATTATTTAACTGTACTAAGATAATTAGATTATGAACACTTCAAGTTTGTAGAAAGAAAAGAGCACGTCATGTTCCTAGTGTTAAAACTAGAAGTGGACTTTGAGTGACATGGGAAGTTTAACAGTGAGCTTCTAACGGAGTCAGAGTCAGCGTAACAGTGTTGAGCTGTATGAATGCCATCGGGGTTTTACTTCTCAGCATTCTTTTTCACTTTGCTCTCTCTGAACTGGGTATTAGAAATCAGGACCCTGGAAATAGCAGTGGTTGGTTGCTTGGGTTGCGGGATGCTCTTATTCTGCATATTTTTCAACTGAAAGTTCGTACCAATTATAATTGAGGCATAATTTTTGCAGGGTCTCAATCACTATAAACAAAAATTTGAAGAAGAAAATGAATGAAATTGGAAGATAATTCAAGCAGGTGTTAACATAGTGCTCAAGGTTCAGTGGAATTTTGTGTCCATCTGTTTTAAACTGGTTGGTACCCATGGCTTCAGTGCCTCTGTTGCTCACAGCGTATGTTACTTTAGGGAAATCTACCTCCTGGCATGAAAAGATTAACATAATGCATGTGAGAATAAAAAATTTTGCTTGTAAAACTTCCTCTTCCTCCTTAATATATATGCAATGGGCATGATTAAGTTACATGTTTAGAGGATTAAAATACACAGCTCATACTGCTTGGGGACAAGAATCTAATTACTATGTTCTGCTGATTTTATTTCTTAAGGAGAAGGGAAAACTATTGTAAAGTTTATTAAAAGTGTGAGGAAAGATTTGCTTTGTGAGCAACTTATTAGTGATTCTCTAAAACCTGTGTAAGGAGAGAAAAAGGGGCTTCCTGCAGCAGCTTTGAACTCGAGTTCTGCTTTTTTAACATGGGAGTGTGCTTTATTAAAAGGTTTCTAGTTGTCTGAATGTCTCCCTTTTTCCGTGTTTGGTATGTATTTTATGACTAGCAAATGATAAGGTTTCATTACAGATTTTTTTTTTTTTACCATCGTGGTTGGTGATATTTCTACTGAGCTGTAATATGGAGAATGTTTTTTTCTGAACAAATTAATTAGTTGGCCTAACACGCTTGAATTCCAATCTTTCTCCCTGCCCCCTGAAAGAATGGAGGTGTGTGGGTATGTGGGGGGGGTGTCTGTGTGAAGAGGCAGTGATACTTTGATTTGATGATAATGACAAAGTAGTTCTTTCGGTCTTTCAGTTGTGTTTCAGTGGGCACTTTATGTTAGAAGCCACATTGCATATTGTTTGAGTACTGAGTTTTGAACTATGCTGTAGCTTGCATTGATATGTCAGATGATAAACTGTCATCTTGGAAAGTAATTGTAAAAATTAGGCTATGACTAGGAAAACCGAATGACTTCAGAGTTGATGGCAAATAAAATAATTCCCCCATTTTATCAGCAGTTCTAAAAATACTCAGTCATACTTTCTGATAGAAAGCGTTTTATCCAATTTCTTCGCATATGAGCAATTCTCGTTTCTGTACTGAACAATTGGAGGGGTTTAATTTCAGTTCAAAAAATATCTTGCCTATAACATGAAATTGGAGCACATTTCTGGGCAAAAAAATAATGGGAACCTCCTTCTTCCTGTAAGACTTTATATAGGTAAAACTCAGTCACCCTGGCAAACTTCTAAGTTGAAAAGTACAGGAGATAGAAGCAAATGACCATCACAAATGCTGGTGTTGCTTTTTTCTCTATGATGATCCTAATATCATTAAAAAGGTATTTGTAAACCTGTGGGTTTCTTTATCATATGAAAGATAACTCTTTAATAAAAAAAAATAAAGAAAACAAAAATAGGCATTGTAACTTCTCTGCAGCTGTTGGACTTCTTAAGCTCTTCACAAATAGTTTGTAGTGGTGAGATCATAAGCAGAGCCTTCAGAACCTAGTTTCAAGTACTTTTTTGGTGAGATTTGTACATACAGCTATTATATTATTATTATTATATTATAATTTTCAAGTTTACATGTAAGGGCAGCTAAATTGGCATTCCCTCCAGACTAAGCTGTCCCTAGTTGCCAGTGAGTACTTCAATGTTTTTATTTAAGCCTGATGTAGGTATTTGCCCATTAGCTCTAGGAATGCACAGCCCTAATAGAGAATGTTGCACGTGAAAGGCAAACGTTGAGGTTTGCACTGTCACTCCCAGAACAAAAATAATGTCTGACCATCCCCTTTGGTTTTGGAGGCCTGGTGGATGCAGCTCTGCCTCTGGTTTAAACTGACCTAGCATTAAATATGTACCATGCTATCTCCTGCATTGCCATTAGTGTTTGTGGTGAGTTGGATCAAAAAACTGACCCAGCTGGAAGTAATCCAGCCGTCTCCTCTCTCCCCTCCCCTCCCCTCAATTTTCTAATGCATTAGTGGGGAGAAGAAAGAGAACAGAGAAGTTTGTACATGTTCTAGTTCTTCTGTTAAATTAATTTTCTTCTACAACAGTAAGTACTAGGAGCACTTCAAGGTTGGGCAGAGGGGTAGAGGAAGACAGTGCCTCATTCAGGGAAGAGTCTGTGGGATGGAGAAGGCGAGAGTAGCAGAGAGGGGAGGATTACGCTTTGGTGGGGCGGAAGTGAAGTAATGCTGCTACTTTCTAGCTGTTTAGTGATACTTACGTATTGGATTTTGAAAATAGTTTATGTCTGAGTAACATAATATACCATAACAGGGAGAGCAAGGATTGAACGCCTTTATTACTGTTTCAGATTATTGCTTCATATCAGGTTGAAACACTGGTTAGCTGTACTGTGTGAGTATTTCTTCTGCCAAGTCATAAACAAGCTTCCGGCTCCTATCTGTTAATTCACCACCTTGAATTCTGTCGTTTGAAATAAATTCTTAATATTTTACTTTTTAATTTTTTTTTGTTTGAAAATACATGAATAATTTGAAAGGCTAAGGCGCTTTTCCTAAGCCCAGGGAAGAAAATTTAATTGATGATTAATTGATGGCCGGATTATTTTTTTTGTAAAGGTGGTTTCCTAGCACCTGTGGCCTTTGTTGAGGTAGTATCCCACACTGTGCAAGTACCTAACAAACCACTGTTCCTTTGAAGTTAAATGATTTAACTTCCCAATGATTAAATCTTGTGCTTTCTAGAAATATAGGAGTTTCTACTTTTGGGGGGAAGTTGAAATAATAGGCTACTTATGTTTCCTTCTTTTGGAAAAAAAAAAAAAAATCTCCTGTCAGTAGGCCTGCCAGTTGCATGTGTGTGGAAAATCCCTCAGAAAACTTATTAAATTGTCCCTCATAATATAGCACACATGGTTCTTTAGTATATTATTTATACTTGAACTTAATTTATAAAGAGTAGTTTGTGATTGTTGGCAGTTCTGGCTGCACACAGTTATGCAAATAATTTACTAGCATTTCTTCTCTGTTGCCCAATAGTTATTATTTTCCACTGAGTAGCCAGAGGCATTCTTTCAGAAGCTGTTTTCTTGTGTACCAGGTTTCCTGAAATAAGAGTTTTAATGCTGCTTCCTCAGTATATCTCCAGTCATTCTTCCACTTTGCCTTGCTGATTCTATCATACCTCCTCATTTAGTTCCCCCTTACCATTCCCCTTCACCATGCCCCCGGTCATTCCAGACACTTTCAGAATAAACTTTAAACTACTCCCGTACTATGCTTGTGCTTCGTATTGAAAAGTGTGATATAGAGCAATTGTATATATTTAATTATTTATTATGTTTTTCTTTGTGATTTTATATTTATTTATAACTTTTTTGGGGAATAAGTGTTGCAGCTGCTGCTGTTGCATTTTCTGTCAAATTGGTAGTGTCTGAATTTTGACTAACAGAGAAGTGTGTGTGTTCCCAAGCACGTACCAAGACAGTTCAGACTTGCTAATGGGCTCTGGGGCTTGATCTCACCCCTTCTCCCTGGCACTCCAGCTTCTGTCTCTAACAGTGGAAATGAGGCACAACTTTTTAAAATTTCCTTCCCCTTCTGGAAGGCTGCACGTGAGAAACTTTAATATTGTTGTATGTAGTTTGCAGGCCGCGTGCTTTTAGAGAAATGGGTTTGAGAATTAGTGATGTGGTGAGAGCTGTGCCTTTGCTTCTCATAGCAGGTGCTGTTGCGAAGAGTTATCTGGCAAGGGGATGTTTTGGTTAGAGATGTTTTGAGGTCAGTTCTGGGAGATGAAACAGAGTTGAGAAATCATGAAGTGTTCACCTCCAGTCCCTCAACCATGTATTGCAGTGGGTGAGGTAATTGCTGGGTAAGGGACTGCATCTTTCTAGATTCTATGTATGTTACTTTTTAACGCACAAATTTAAGCTGAAGAGCACAAAGACTTACAATGCCATCCTCCAGGGAAACCCTGGAAGAGCCACGATTACAATCAGCAGTTTAGGATAGAAATGGCTTGTTGGATAGCCAAAGAAACGCAAGTGCCATGATCATCATCGTTGTGAATTAATGCAATATTACAGATTTGGTAATGGTAGCTATGAGGGAGGGAATTAGTTCAAGTTTGAGAAGCTCAGGAGAAAGTCTTTAAAGGAGTTCTAGCTCCTGTTCTTCCATATCATTGTTTTTCTACAAAGGAAGGGAGATTAGGTTATTTCAATAATAAAATACCTAGCAAGTTTCAGTAATGTGCTTGGCACTGTAAAAGGAAAAGTGGTGGCACTACCAGAAATCAGAAAAAGCTACTTTTAATGCCTTTATTTACTCTATGATAAAGCAACTAAAACAATGACATTATGGCATAATGCCATGCCAGTGCTCCCTTTGTTTTTTCTTGTCTATTTTCTACTTCTGATCATGGAGAACATAACTACAATTTTCACACCTGCCATGTGCCTTTGAAATTGAATGACTGGAAGTTACTATGTCTTTTTTTT